GTTCATATACATATGTATAAATGATTTCATATAAAATCTTTCAAATCGGATCTCCAAACTGTTACAAACCTGTTCTAATTCAAGCAAAATATTCACTTATAATATTTGTATCATCGACGACAACATGGTTTGTTTGACAGAAGTATTGTAAGAAAGGTAGCAAAGCGTGTATTTTTTAAACTTTAGTTAGTCTTTGATGAAGTTTTGACGAAATCTTTCTCATAAATCTTATGACCTTGTCCTGATAAGTCAAAACTAATAACCTAAGAGAAAGATACTAATTATTTTAAAAATTTAAAGTAGAAATTTTGTGAACTATTTGGTATCAACGATTTGGCATTTATTAATGGCTTGGCACCATAACCGCTGCGGAAATTGTTTACGTGATGCCGCAGTATATCAAGGTTATGCCTATAGCTTATTAGCCATTAATAAGATTTCAGGCTTCGACAGTGCCAAATCCTAGTAAATGTTGCGTATAATTTCAGTTACTTAATATCTAATCTAATATCAGTTATTAAATTGCAGAATATTCTTTAATTTCACGTTTTATATAGAATTTAAAGTAACTTTGAAATTCTCTTTACAACATCCGAGTGGAATCGATAAACCACATTTGTAAAAATCGGTTCAGTAGCCGAACAAATATCTACTCATTCATGCCGATGCTTGGAGTACTTTGTTCGTTTTCTTTTCTCTTACGCCATTTTGCGTACGTACGAGCCAGTGGGCCTACAAATATTACGATTTATGCCTGAACATAATTTCTCTCGTTTTATGGAAATATATTAGAATTTTTCACTTATGTGCTTAAATATAATATACTTTATAAAATCCACTTATATTAATAAACAAACTCAGGATTTACCGCATTACGTGGAAGAGGAAAAAGCTGAATGGGAAATATTAAATTTTACCTAGAGCTCGGTGATTACAGGTGCTCTCGGGAAGCACAAACTACTATACATTAGCATATAAGCATAATCCCCTTTAATTACAATATGAAGAGAAATAATAGAATTTCCTAAGCATGTCAGTATATTATGCTACCTGCGTAAGACAATTATGAGATGTTACCGCCTCGTTAACCTCAAGATATTTGGAAAAGTTCCAGAGGGACTGTTTGGGGAAAATAATATTCTATCGTATCTTTCATAATTGTATGGGTCGGACCGGCTTTGTCCATTTAATAATATTATTGTAGTTTTTTCTGTTAAAAAAATAATTCTTTGCTTATGTCCTTTGGCAAGTAATTGAATACGCATACTTCACTTTTATTAATATTTATACTGGATACTGCGTAAAAAATAATAAAGAAACATATTGTTACAGGCAAAATTAAATTAAAGTTGAAATATAATATTTTGTTGTCCACGAAATTTAGTCTGATGTAAAATAAAGTCTAAGATGTAAAGGCACCTACCTAAAATGTGAGGGTCGTATGTTACACTTTTTGTGGCCAATTCTCTACATCCCCTCGCATCTTTTGTACCTAATTTAAGACGGGAGAAACAAAAAAATGAAGCACTTTATTATCTTTATATGTTCCGCATAAAAAAAATCCCTAAAAGTATTTGTATTTTATTTCATAAAACGCTTATTGTTAATAGCTAAGGGTTTGTTTTTAGATACAATTGGTAAATTAATTATTAATTTAAGTTTATGTATCAAGAAGGCTAAAAGGTTATTATTTTATGTTAAAGTCAATTAGGATCAAATACTAATTTAAATAAAATAATGTATAATTGAGCATAAATGGAATATTTGTCATCACTAGCAATGTTTGGGGAACGGTCGGATTTTGTGAGATTTCAGTATCCATTTTACTGAAACGTGCAAATTCCATTTAGGGCAAGTGATTCATTTATCTCATGAAAAAAATATATTGAATTGATAACAAGTTTCTTTTTATATTTATGAAAATATTGACTTTTGTAATAATATTATATTTCAGGTTAGAGCTGTCAGGTATCTGTAATTGTAACAGAAATAATTTTGAAAGCTTATTTCCTAAAGGCATTATGCAACAAATAAAGTGGTTTTTATAAAAATATTAGTTGAATATTAAAATATAAATAATTTTCTTTACAATATATTATGATATAATCTTTTTACATTAATAGCTTACAATTTTATTGTCTAACGCAGTCACGTGAAATACAAAGCTGGCCCTAAGGCGTTGAATTTAAAAGTTATTATTTTAATTCACTCAGATTAAATAACTAGTCTTAGCATGTGTATTCCATTTTATATTTCTTCATATATTTTACAAAAAAAGCAATTCCAGTTCCTGTAAAAGACTTCTAGTAATAATTGCATTTCCTTTTACATTCAACATTTTCTTTGTGTTAAGAACTAGAATGAAGTTCATGCAAAGACTTGACGTAAGCCCAAAGAGCAGCTAAAACAGGACTAGGTACAAAACAAACGAATAATAAAAAAATATAGCGTTTGAGATGGTGCAAACGAATAAAGGAGGTATTTTAGAGTTTCGTACTTAGAGAAAAGTTCCCTGTGATACAACGATCGAGGATCAAATGATAATTTATTTGATGAAATTTTTTGTATTGGAATTAATTATTCCATACAGAAACATTAAATTATTATATTTGGAATATATCTTGTAAATGTACAGCTAAACATTTTAGAAGAAATTCTGACTTTCTAAATTTTATAAAGGCTTACAATATTTTAAGTTTTATCTAATGCTTGATAGAGGAATAAAATAAATTAAGTTGCCTTTCCAGTCATTGGAATTTGAAAACGAAATCGTAAGGGGTGAATATACATACTATCTCAGTATCAATCTTTTCATCTTTTTTTTGATGACACGAAAAATTTTAACTCAAAGGAGACAGACACGGGCAAACTGTTTCAACCCCTTGCTATCCGTCTATAAGGAAGAAAGGCATCGTTCGTCTGGATGCTAGCAAAAATTATATTTATTAAGTCGGTATTTTTACTTAAATTGATTAGAATAACTTTAAAACCTTACGTCGAAAAATATGTAATAATTATTCGCAGTTTTAGTTATCACATTTAAACTTATACCCTGGTAGATTTATTCACTGGAAAAAAATTGGTTCCTATTGATTATTTTTTACAAATTCTTCCCTAGAAACCGAGAGTTTTTTTTATTTTTTTCTAGTATTGATGTATTGTTTATCATAAAAGAATCACTATAACAGTGCTCAAATATTTGTAAAGCAAGCTCACTGAACTGTAGTTCGGTGACAATGGAGACAATTTTTAACTGCATTGAACAAAGTTGTCAAAAAAAGTAAAGTCGATAAAAGAGTCCTAGAAAATAAAGCAAGGAATTTGAGTCTTTATCTGGGAGTCTAAACGTCTCGTTGTTTATTTTCTCTCGACTTCTAAAGAGAGTTTTCCAGATTTGGTTCTTTGTTAAACTAAAATTAAATTTAGGCAATCAACATATTACATTATTTTAACTTGATGACATGTTCTAACAAAAGTGGAATAAATTTTCAGCAATATCAATATATTGCCCTAAATGTCTATCCGGAATAGTCATTAAACAAAAAACGAAAATAAATCTAGGTTGCTGTTTTAACACAATTTACTATTGTTGGTTTCTGTCTCTTTGCCAAACCAAGCGTAGAAAATACTTCAATATTTTCTCACTTAAACGCGGTAACAGTTAATTTGGAATTTTAACACCTGTATGTTAAAAAGGACTCCAACTACTTCCAAACATTTCCAAACCATAGAATTAAATGACAGGTTGTATGTTTAAAATTCATTAATATCTGTACCCATACCTATTATCTTTATTGTATACGGTTGAAAGTTAAAGATTTTTCATTAAAGAATTTTGACTATTATATTATTATTGTTTTAATAACTATAGCTGCTCATTCTCAAAGTTAAATTTAGAAGTGTTTTCAACAAGTATATGACTATAAAGTTGGGTATATTTTGAAGTAAACATTATAATTTTCTATAGTTTTTTGTGTTTTATTCCTATGTATCCTAAGAAATTGTTGCATACTTTAAACATCGTTTACTGGGCTTAACAGATTGCTATAAATACTTTTTTGAGTGGTCAATGCTACCGCAACTCGTATAAACGGCTAAAAGATAAATCTGCAAACGCTTTATTTTTGTACTGTAAATTTTATGGACTGAATTTTGCGTGTCATATATTTGATGAAAATATCTCAAGTTGTTTGGAAGCTTTTTAATTTTTATTTTATAAACAAAATTCGATTAAACGATTTAGATAAATAATTTTAAATTTGGCATACATTTCGGTCGACAGCAAGGAAAATATGTAGGGACACGGCTTCCTTTTATGGAATTATTTTACTGTTGTACAGCGGAGATACTGATTCCTTAAACTCACAATGTGTATGTTACAAATTTTAAATTAAATTTTAACTTTAAACGAAAACATTGACTTAGAATAAATAAAACTTTCTGCCTTCAAATGAACTAAAACGAAGTTTTATAACCAATGGTTTTAGTTATTGAGTTTTAAGTATGTTGAAGTAAATGACATTCCACAGAGTAACATTGGAGAATAGATTTTCAATAAGCTATTTAATGCTATGACTTAAGTCTCAGTTTTAATATCAAAACATTTATTTTTATTTTTCACGGGTCATTAATTACCACGAGATTTAAAGATGTCAAAAACATTTCAGTGCCTTTTCAAAATAAACGTGTTGTGTGTCAAAAACGATTGAGTAATGTGTTTTCATTTAAATGGTATTTATTGGGAATTAGTTCGTTCCTTGAATATTTTTTACTTTTTATGTAAATTGCTTAAAAATCTAATGAATTGGATTGATCATTGTGCTGACACAATAATTAGTAAGATGTCAACAACTTACAGAAGAAATATTACTAAAATTGTGATATTTATTCTTCTATTTTCTAACTCAGAAGATATAATATACTAAGGAATCTTCCTAAAATATATTTTCTTTCAGAAACAAAGGCGAACCAGATGAAATCTATGGATAACTGCTGACAAGATGACACCATCTGGCTTGTTGATATTCAGTTCGTTGCTCACTAGGACGTTATGTGTCATTGCACCTCAGATACCAGGTAGGAGTTTTTGAAGACATTTTTTGGTACATATTATGTTTATTGTTATTTTTGTAATAAATTTTTATTAGCCTTTACCTTTCTTTCTATCTACAATTATAATAAAACAAGATTTTATTGTATGCCTAGAGCTATTTTTACATATATATGTATGTGTAGATATACTATAATTTGCAAGTCTTTGTGTTACTTTGGTTGCCTTTTTCGTACAATCACTAAGTGGATGACCAGATCTTTTTATGTCGCAAATAGTTAAGTTAGATTTAATCAATCGACCTATTAATAGCCTGGTACACTCACTGAATTAATTTGACTCCTTACTTACTTTGTGATATGGAATCACATTAATACAATAAAACATTCTATGTAATATTTGGTTGTTTTTAATGTAACAGTATTAATGGCTAGGCTAAATCTATATTTAGAATATTATTATTGAAAATAATACAAAAGAAGAAGTTCACTAATCAATTAATCTCGAATTCATTAACTCATATGTTGTTTACATATATCCAAATGATACATACGTTTGTCTTGTTATAAACCACCAAAGCCCCTTACGAACCCAAAATTCCCATTAAACAGGAACTGAAGCAGTTGAAAACCACATTTTCATAATTATTGCTTATCCTTCTATGTAAATGACGCTCTAGGAGACGATGAATGTAATCACACTTGAATTGTATATAATATAGTTGGTTAGATAAATATAGATAATCTTCTACTAAAATCACTTTGAATACGTTCTATACACATTTCTTTATTTTATTCTTAAGTTAAGAGCTTATCTATTAGTTTGTATTTAGTTTAAACTACATTTGGTAAATTACTTTATTTTTAAATCATTGTATCAATTTGATTTACTCATTAATAAATGTGAAGTATAAAAGTTTATGTAATTTGATTCGCATGAAATATATTTGTTTAGTTTACATTTACATAATAACAAACCTGGAAATGGAGTTTCAATGTCGTTTAAAGTATAATATTGTCACAATTTTATATAATAATTATTTTTATATAATTAATATTCTAGCATCTTTATAAACTCAGTGGCAAAGTATCTTAGTTTTATTTTTATTTCATTATAGAATACGTAACATTTGATGAACAAGGCTTTTATAAATGAGTCGGAAGCTTCATGTTTCTCAACTCCACCATTTCAAATTATTACAGCAAATAAAATAAGAAGTAAATGAAATGAAAATAAAGACTTTATTTTAATAATAATGAACGATAAGTATCGTTATACAGCATCAGTAATTTGATTTAACATCACTGCTAGAATTATAAAATTGAATTTCTGGTCTATTTTATAAAAGTGTCAATTTATTAAATATTGAACGTGATTTTACCTTTTTTTCCGAAACCATATTAAACATTCTCGATGACATTTAATTGTTTAATATTTCACTGCGAAATCAAATTTCTATCATCAATATTAAAACAAAGATATTAAATTCTTTTATTTACAATTACATTATATTTTCATGACCAAAGGCACGGGAGGGAAAATTGAATTAATATTTGTTTTATTCACACCAAATGCTGCAACATCCAATTTGTTAGTAGAAGCAAATTTAACGCAAAACAGAACATTTGTCTCAAAATGGTTCATCCCCTTCAATATAAGAGTTACTTTAAATTTGCTTACGTTTCCTTTCCGAGCAAATTTAAAAATAAACTGTCTATTTCTGTTTCGTTTTAACTTGTCATTTTGCAATTTTGTCCAAGTGTTCTTTGTATTTATTCTCTTCCGGATATTAATGTTAGTGCGGACCGTTGTAAAATAGACATTGCAAAGATAAATTAAATTTTGATGTCTGGCCACAATACAAATAAATAAATAAATATATTTGAAGTGTATAAACATAGCACTTTAGTGTTTAAACTTGGCTTAAGATTACATTATATTAAAAAACTTTATACTTGTTATGGTATTCAACTAAAAAAAATGTGTTCTTATCTATTCCCTAACACAATAACCTCATACATTTATAAATAATACATTTTTATTGAAGTTAAAGTATGCGTAATAATAATGTCACTTTCGACTTTGCTGTAGATTTCAAGACCGGTGACAGAAAAGTCATAAATACTCCATTCTGGCACGAAGTTTTCACGGAAGTTTACGAAGAGCAAGAAGAAGAAGTAACCACTACTTCAGAACCTCTGCCATTCTTTGAAGATGACGCGTCCACTAATAACGTGACTGCTCAGATGGGAAGCAGAGTCCACTTACATTGTCGTGTCCATGATTTGGGTGAAAAAACGGTAATTATCTATTCAAGTCTCCTCCTTCTTCTACCTAGTAATTTCCCAGCTTTACCCAGTCTGTCTTACATGTTGTGAATAGTTTTTACGACCGGCCGCCTGCCTGACGTCAACCCTCTTTGGGAATGCATTAATCAGTGATTTCAAAATATCTCTTAGAAAGTACATATGACTCGGAAAAATCATATTGGTACTTACCAGGATCGAACCCGCGCCCTCGTGCATGAGGAGGGCCTTTTAACCATTAGGCTACCACTGACTCAGTATTTATATATTAAATTATTTAATCTATTATTGACATTAGGTAAATGATATTTATTTTTTAGATATCCTGGGTTAAACGTCGGGGAGAAGATCTTCATCTACTATCTTTTGGTCGTCACACCTATTCCGCAGATTCAAGATATTCTTTGGCGTTTGAACAGCCTAATGATTGGCGGTTGCTTATTCAGTATGTGAGTGAAAGAGATGAGGGTTACTATGAGTGCCAGATATCTACACACCCACCTCTAGTCAGAAGAGTTCACCTTACAGTTGTCGGTAAGTTATAAATATGAATAAATATAAAAAATGTGTTTGTTTTTGTAAACAATCTTATTTTTATGTGTGTTATATTGTGATAAAAAAATTACTAATCAAATAAGAAGAACGAAACTTTTATAACAACAGAATTTAAAATTGTGTTACAAAGTCTAGTACTAGTCTAGTTACAAACAGCTTTATTGTAAAATAAATTAAATGAATAAATAATATAACATGTCGTGCTAAATGCAATTAAAACATAGAATCGGATAAAGTACAATGTAAATTTATTAATCATTAATTTAACAGGTTATTTTATATTTAAATTATTTTGATTAAAATGTTTAAAAAAGTTCTTGAATTAACAAAGGAAAGGTGACTAGTCTTCGACACGCATATACATATACTTACCATGAATTATAAAATTTAGAATACGTAATATTTATTTATGTAGTTGATAGTACGAGTATCTCAAATAGTGCGTCCCATATTGTAGTATTGTAAACCAATACTAGTCTACATCATATTCCTATATTCTTTATTAAAAATAAAGTATTAAAAACAAATTAAGAGCTGAATAATGTATGATAAGTGTAATCACCAGCATTCTTATTATGATGTGTTGTTAAAAGTGGCAATGTATTTTTGAGTTAATTTGACATTTAGTAGACTGTATTTTTGTCGTAATATACAAGTATATGTATCTCTTCATATCAGTGTAGTGAAATTCGAATTGTAGTCTAATTTAAGCGTTCAGCTAGTTATACTAAATTAATATAGCGGACAAGTTAGTTCGTTAACTAAGTTAATAAAGTTTTTCATTTTCCAATACTCTTAGCCTATAAAATTTATGGAATCATCATTTTTTTTATTAAAATAAAAAAATGTTATGAGACAAAACATACAGTAACAAAATAATATTTTAATATAATTTATATATGAGTATGGAGATGAAAATAAAAAGATTTATAGTAAAGGGCATGAAAAGTTAGTAGATTAAATACTCGTAAAGTCAAATTCCGGGTAAAATTCTGGAATAACCATTCTTAGCCCAAGCCGAAAAACAATGAAATGGCACGGAAAAGATCAAAGGATACAATTAATTCAAATAACTAAAGGACTAGAGCCAGTTATTTCCTTATTCATCTGCTATTTTAAAATGCTTTGTTATTTGTTTTGCACGTGTTTTTTCTATCAGAATTCCAAAGCGAATTTCATTAAAAAATATTAATATTTAACTATTATTGTGAATGTCATTAACTTACATTTTTTATATAAAAGCCAATTAACTCAAACGAGTAGTGATTCGAAATAAAAATTCATTACTAATTATTTGTAATGCTATTCTATGGCTTATGTTTTAAAATAATATTAAAAGAAATATAAATATTTTGACGTTTAGTTACAGTTAACACATGGAGGATTCGCCACGTGTGTTTGTGTGTGTGTGTTTTACGTTTCCCAAACAATCGGTCCCAATCGGTTAGTGGATTATTTTCATTAGTATTTGCTAGTTTGCAATCGAAAACACTTGGATCGGAAAAATGACAAGCGATCATTTTGCTATCGTTGACAAAAGTTTAATTGAATTTAGAACAATTTTATATGAAGATTTTTGGTATAAAAATTTTTTGGTTTCAAAATTTAAATGTTCATGTTATAAAAAACGAGAATAAATATGGTATGTGATCCTTTATTGAGAAATATGAAAAGCCTGTAGCACCACTTATTCCTACTGTATTTTTTCCTGTTATAACAATCATTACAAATTGATGCTGAATAACCTTTAAATCTATTTAATAATTTCACTTCTTATACCGGACCCATTGTTTTTTGCCTACTTGTATTTTAGTTCTATCAGTATCTACTATTATACAGAAATTATCTTATCTATTTCTATTTCAATCTTAGTAATGTCATAAAAAGGCGTATAAATCATTCCACTCGTCACTATCCTTTAATAGAGCGTCACACCTGCTTCAATTTCCTACAGTATACGGAAATACAAAGAATATTTCGTTACATTTCCTTTGGTTAATTTCCAAATATTAAATACCTAACTATATTGGCCATTGAGATTTTATACTGGAAGTAAATTAATATATTTAAATCTTTTCATTTAGTTTTGCACAACATTTTAGTTTAGTGATTCGAAGCATAATACAGTTTTCCAATATTGTTATCAGTTTTAATACGAATATTGTAAACGGGATCGCCGTTCAGCTATTATTACCATAATAGTAGTAACCTACTTAAGAAACAATATGATAATTTTGTGAAATAACAACTAGTTGGCTATGTCATATTTATACAGTCACCAATTCGCTTAATATTCACGCAGACTTACAATATGAAAAAAATTACTACAGCTGCGAAATTAAACACGTGTTATAAATTCATTGATATGTCGCTCATTTCGTTATAGCTAAATATGTATTTTTAATAACAATTGTAATCCTAGTTTACGTCAATCAAAAAATATTTACTGCCATTCCTTCCACTTTTTAATAAAATGTTACGTCTCAAACATTAAAGCTTTAAAACAAGGCGCATACATCCATTTCAAAGTATAAGAAACCTTCAACTATAATAAAAGATTATCACATCAAAATACATACAAAATTCTAACCCTATTAACTGTTAAATGGTACGTATAAAATAAAAACTTTAAAAAATTCCTTAAGTATCCCGGGACAATGATATATCATTTTTTAATTTTTGAAACACTTAACATTCATAAAATAGTTATAAAAACTTAATCCTTAATAACCGAAAAATATGATCCAATTATTGTACATTCTTTTGCAATAAAGGTACAACTACAAAGATTAAATTTTACTACACGTTGCTTTTTTATTAACAGTAAGGATAAATTCCAAACTTTGAAAATATGTATATACATACTCGTAGTCGTGGTAGTCAGGAAGTTAAGGCCCGCCTCTCATGCATAAGGGCTCGGATTCGAAGCCTGGCAAGTACCAATGCGATTTTTTAGAGTTTTATATATGTACCTACTTTCTTATAGTATTTAGAGAACACGGACAGGCGGCGGAGTAAAACATCCTGAATAGTCCTGGACTTATAAGTTCTTATTTGCCAAACTCCTTGAGCAAGCGTCATGATTAATGCTCTTATCTTCGCCAGTTGATTAAAAGAAAATAATAAATTCAAAAAATTATACAGCAATTTTCTAAATGGAAATTAATTTATTATATAGAAATATAAGCCGATGTTAAACTACCAAACTAAGTTGTTGGTTTCAACTGAATTTTGTTAATTCTATTACTATTTACTTTACACTGCAACTGCGAGTGTCTAGCTGTTATGTAAGTTCACTTTTGAAGTTCATATAAGCAGTGGTGGTTAACACAATGCATATAAATCTCTTTTGTGGGCATGATATGGATATGTTTGTTACAGTACTGTGTTTAACTTTATGAAGAATGGAATTGCAAGAGTAATATGATTCGGTGAGATTTAACTTAGTGTGAAATTAAGGATATTCATGTCATATTACAGTCGAGTTTTTGAAATGTACATTTATAATATGACTCAATATTTCAACTGTTGAAAAAAACTACGAACAAAGACTTTTATTGTAAAGAATAATTTCTTGTGTCTTAAATATTATCGTCTTTGAGTACGCAGAAAATGATAACTTGAAGGTACACGTTTTTGAAATGTACGTTTATAATATGACTCAATATTTCAACTGTTGAAAAAAACTACGAACAAAGAACTTTTATTGTAATGAATAATTTCTTATGTCTTAAATATAATCGTCTTCAAGCAACCAGAAAATGAATAAGTTGAAGGTATATTAACTCTATGAGATGTAATTCTCACGACTTTGCACACACTCTAGAACGGAATAAACTTTCCACTCTCAAAAATTTAAATTTTACTAGATGAAAATATTGTTTGAACAAAACTTTAGAGATTAATAAGATGTAGTCAAAGTTTTATAACTCCTTTTTAAATTTTTTTAAAGAATTGTTCCAAAAATAAAAGTTATGAAGAAAAATTGCTGGGATCCCACGGAAAAGACTTATAAGTTTAATTTTATTTTAACTGTTATTTTTGCTATGGACAAATTTAACTTGCAATATTTATTTAGCTACCCGAACCATTTTTTGTCATTTTTAAATACTCGTAGCATGTTTTTTTTTGTGTTCAAATTCTTTACTTGTTTATCGGGGATAGTCTTTTAATAGTTGCGTGGAGCTCAAATATAGTAAAACTATCATTAACCTGAGATTTCTTATTTATTATGTATAAAAATATAGGTTTTAGTAAATAAGAGTATTTAAAAATAATAATTCTAGTAAATATTATATTCTATCGTGAATTTTGATATTTCATTAAAAATATTTTCGATATTAAATTTGATACGATATCAATATTGGTTTTGAAGATAATAGAATTACAAAAATTTCATACATACTTTTTAAATATTTGTCTTAATATCAAAGTAATAAAAATATTTTACGCTAAGATTTACAAGATATGTATATACATATGTATACTTGGTTATAACAAAACGTTGTTGAACAAAGATTAAATAAATACAAGTAATACATAACAAACACCAACTTAAGTCCAAAACCCAAAGTAAGGTTGGATTAAAACAAAGATAATGATAATTATCAGATAGTATTATATGAAACGTGATCCGACAGCGTACATTGCCTGTGGAGAGTATCGGTTAGATAATCTGTAATGTATCACTAATGTACTCGAATATATATAATTTTATATATCACGCTAGCCATCCAGTGATTTGGTAAACTACTATGTTGAAACTACTACCACTTAACTGTATCTTTTAAATAATGCAATTTTTGGTTTGTATCTTTTAATAAATATTTTTGTAATAAAAATGTACAATAAGTTTTAATAATCAAATTATTTCCGAAATAAGCAGTTCAAATATAATGTAATTAAATGGATTGAACATTACCTGAACAATACATATGACAAAAATTTAACAGACCGCTCTCTGTTTATGATTTTTTTTATATGAAATTTCATAAGAATTAATAATATTAGGACCTAAGTGAACACTAATAGTTGTTAGAAGTTTTTTATATACGTTTTTCTATGTTATTTTCAGTAACATTATGTGATAAGCTTCACTTAATATTTACATTTTATTTCATTAGAATAGGCCCATAAATAAAAAAGTTATTCCTATTCAAAGAATCAAGTTAAATATTTAATTAATTTATTGATATCTACTATGTTTATGTTTAGTAATATTTACTGAAACTTCGCTCCTCGTAATATTACGATTATTATTTATAAAAACAGATATTCAAATGTAACTTGACATGAGATTAATATAATCAATCGGAATTATTAATAAAAATTTGGTGTTTTTTCACGTTATATTTACACTCAGCTTAAATTGAAAATATATGTATAAGTTAATATTTTCTTGACTTTTTTGTTTTTAAATTTGTCTTCATAATATTCAGTAAGCACTTACATTTAAGCCCATAAAGGGCTTGAAATTTAAAAGTCGGAATACCCATAATGGTCCAGACTTAAGCCCGCCGAAACTTTGAAATGCTACCAGACTAAACGAGACCCATTTAGAACGAAACTTAATAGCAGCAGAGGTTTTAACGGAATACGTGAAAATATTTCCATTCCTCGGATTTCTATCATTCTAAACAATTTTACGTTTACTTTCTAACTAGTCTGGTTTCCAATGAACCCATATTTCTCAACAACTATTAATAAACCTCAAGATCATGATACTGAATGTTTTAGAGTGTGGGTCTATCAACTAGCTTTTTTTCCCAGATAATTTTTATGAGACCCTGTTCCGTGTTAGCTATTTTATGAGCCTCTTTGCTTTGATGCGCAATAACCTTATCACTATATTGTTTTTGCAAATCTTTATCATAAATTTTTAAAGTAAGAAATATATTTTAAAAAATGCTCCTAAATTCACTATTCCATGCCGAAAAATTCGTTTGTACAGCTAGTACTAAATCTATTTCATCGTGAAGTCTGTATTTAAGTTATATTTTATTTCTATTTTTCAGTACCCAAAGTTGAAATAATAGACGAAAGAGGTCGACCACTTCATGACAAATTCTACAAAGAAGGTTCTATAATAGAACTTAGGTGTATTGTCAGCGAAGTACCTCAACCCGCGCGGCAAGTTAGTTGGAAACACGGTGGAAGGCTTTTGAATTATGATACCAAAAGAGGGGGAGTAAGGTAAGTTTTTTATCTGATAAATTAAAAACTAATAAACGAAGAAGCAAGTAAAGTTACCTTCATAAAACCTAAATCTTAAGGGCCACTAAGGTTCAGTATTTTGAGTACGTGACCATATTAGACGCCGTTTACGATGGAGGAAAATGTGTGTTTAATATTTTTTTTACATTCAAGTTTAGATAAAAATATTATTATAAAAGAGCGAATATATCATATATAATTAAAAGTAATAATACATTACATAGTCTTGCGTATTATTATAATAAAAATATGTCTATAAAAAACAAAATTGAACTCAAATATTTATTGGCTAATTGATTTGCTAGGAGATACAGTTTACAAATAAACCATTATAAGAATACCTCGAAACAGAATAATAATTAATTAGTGTTCATTTGTCGGGAATGCTAAATCTTTAATTATGAAGAATATAAATTCATTGTTATAATGCATTTACAGTCTTTCGATTGATAAGACCGTACATCAATAACTAGTTAAGTTTCATTTTAATTAAAAAATGTTGTCTTAGAATAGTTTGCGGTTTTTCTCTAACGTAAATCATGCATTTATTTTATGTTAAGGTGACAACTTACGTTACATTGCAATTGTCGTCACGAGAATGTCTCATATTTCAAAAAAGATCATCTATATGCGCAACCTAATTTGGAGTAATCAATAAATATACTAACAATTTTTCGTTAATAAATCTTCTGGACATTAAGCATTAACTTACAATTTTCAATGAGATAACAATGCTTCGTGAAATATAGAATAACGTCGAAAACTCGTATTAATCACACTAGTGTTATAAAATTATTGAAAAAGTATACCCGATGATTTTTTTCAAATTTATATTTTAATTACATTATCTACTGTATAACTTATACGAAAAACCCTAGTTCTTACTCGCCTCTCCACTGATTTGAATTTCAGTAAGGATTTAAATTAATTAATTAACAATCTAGTACATTTTCTTACATTATAACTTTATATCTGTAATATCGTTCCTTGCTTGAATATAAAAATATAACTGCTTAATTTTGAGATATTCAGAATATAATAATTTTATAAATAAAATTTTTGTTTCAGGACTAAAAACGTTTAATAAAAAATTATTTGTACTCAATAATTAAAAAGTGTTTGCTCCTTACGTGTTGACTTCAGTATGTTCTTTTTAAATAAACATCTTAAAAGTACATACATATGTACTTTGTTACCAAAAAAAGATAAATTTGTTTTTTTAATGTCTCTCCTATAGGACCTTTTGTCTTAAATGTAAGTTGGAGATTCGAGAATTCTCTCTAGATATAAAATTGTGCTCAAACTTTCATGCACCACAGTTTCTAAAAATATAGAAGTCTATAAATATTTTCGAGCTCCACGTGTATATAAAGTAAAATTAACCATCAAACCAGAATTCATACAGAAGTACAAAATTTTATTTGTGTATTAAAGACACACGTGTAACCCACATTGTAGATAATAATAAAATCAATAAACAATTACATTTCGAATTCTCATTTCTCCCGAAATTACAGAATAGGAATTTAATCTATAAAAGAATTAACCTCAGCTTCTAACATTCTCATGAAAATTCTCAATCTAGATATAATTTGGACGATCCTACCCTAGATAATTAATTTTTGTAGCGTCTGATAACAAAATGACAGACAATAGTAATGGTATGATAATATTAATTAATTTATTCTCCTTTATACGTTGTAAAATAAAACCTTCCCTACCTTTCCTTATAATTGTTTTAATTAATAATGTTACACGAGGTGTTTTATTTGTAACTAATTACTATCGTTATAAATCTAAAAGGACAGACGATAAATAACGTTAATTACGAGTCATTAATTCTTGGATGTTTAGTCTCTATAAATGTCTCATTCTTTTTATTCAATTACCACTTAATCCATTTGACACTGAGTGGTTTTCGCACTCGTGGTTTGATTTCATTGCAATAGATTCAATCAATTGTAGCCATCGTTTTGTACTTTAAAAGTATTTTTATCCATAATGAGATCTAAGATTTTCAAGAGTACTCATTTAAATGAAACTAATATTTTCGGATTTTCTACGCCTTTTTATTTTTGACTATATACTACGTACTCCCGACGTTTCGGCCTTTGTAATGCTGAATACCTAGAGGGTTGCTGAAAAGTAACCTAAACGCGTAGTAAATCCGAAAATATAAGTATTTATTCAGATATCATTATTTTTGAATAAAAATTGGTTATCGTTTTGTTTAAAAATCTTTGGCTATCCTATTGTAAAGGACAGTTCTTATCTGTTTGCTATTATGCTACAAATTGTATCCCAAATGTCCAACCGATGCAGGTTAGCCGTAATGAAAAGGGTATAGGAATATTAAAGTTTTGTACCTTCAATCCATTAGGCTCCAAGGACTAATAAACCCAAACAATAGCAACAGAAATTGAACAGATCTGTATCTTCTGTTTTGAATAATAGTGAAAAGGGAAACTATTAAAGCTAAGATATTATTTGTGATCCTCTACACATGTGAAAGAAATTTAAATTTATGTCAAAGAAAAAATATACGATTAAGTTAATTTAAATTGCTATTATTGAGATGGCTGAATGGAACATGAGTAAAATTATTGTGTTAATATGTTAATATTTATTAAATATTTTACCAAGGATTTTAGTTTGTTTAATTATAATGTTTTCGTACCGTATTCACATTCACTTTGTGTAACAAGAATTCCTCGCATTCTGATTCATTATATGCTTGACCCATTTATGTCTACATCCCTGTTTATTTTTACTACGATGAAAAGGCAGTCTTTTAGTCTAAGAGTTACCTATTTGTATTCATTTGTCTAGAAGAGTTTGTTGAAAGCATTCACATTTTCTATTCTAGTGGTCATTGTCACTTTTAAATTACAAGACGTAGAAGTAATAGCAGGATACAGACATTTTGTTATGCCATCACATAATAGAATTTGAGTCATAGAAATAAAATAAAAGTATATAATTAATTTCTTCCCGTAATGTTTTCCCAGTGCATATTAAGATTAAAATATAAATGACATATTGTTTTAAGAGACGGACTGCTGACCTAATAATTTTAACAATGCAACTTTCTTTTTTGGATACTACACGTTTTCTATTATTTTATACATATCGCCAACCCGTGATTACAGTTGCTGTAAAGGAAACAAAACATCGGCATTATAATATATACCATTATATTATTTATTTCTAATGCATAACAAAACATAGTCAACTTATATCTTCCAGTTTATTATTTTTCATCTTATATGTGAAGTACATATGTCATGGCTCAGTAATTTAATTCTTTAGTTAATATCAATAATAATTGAATTAAAATCATCACCAATTTTATAGAATTTAATTATCGACCTTAAAGAAACGAAGATTAAATAATATTTCTATTCTTTTCCTTCAGTGTGAAGACAGAAGCAACATCAAATGGAGCATTATCACGTCTTTACATCGCAAATGCAATAAGAAGCGATTCCGGTAACTATACTTGCTCGTTGGCTGATGTAGCAGCCTCTGCTGTCTCAGTTCATGTTTTAAGGGGTATGTATTGTATTTTAATACATTTAGAATATCTATACTATATAAAATAGAATTTTCATTCGCCAATAGATTTTTATTCAGTACTGAAATTTTAAATCACACGAAACTAATATTATTATATTGAAATATTTGATATATATTGATATTATCTGCAACATATCCACTTGTAGATTGTAAAAATTAATGTTAAAGCAACCGTTTTAAGCTAAGAAAATAATCTCTATAGTTATAATATGCTTCTTCCATTTAAAGGTCAATGACCTTAAATCCTGGACTAATAATTATTGTATTCTTTCATAGGTGAAAACCCGCTAGCAATGCAGCGAGGAGGTGCTTCTGTACTTCATCCCACACTCGTTCTATTAAGTTGTTATGTTAGCTGACATTTAGTCAGCGCGTTATAATCGCGCTCAATGTAAAATACATTTAAGATATAACGTTATTAAGTTTGTGGAAGTTTTGCAAATATAATAGATAAGTGAGGAAGTTGTAAATAGTGAAAACGGGTAGTAAAATATTATTACTTAATGTAACTTAAAGTGAATGAGAAAACGAAGTTAAAATAACTTCCCTCCATGTTAGTATTTGTTTCATTTCAAACACACTCATGTATTTCTTCAGCCGTTGTTCACAGTTTCTTCTCACATTGTTTTCTTAAGAACAAAGTGGATAAATTTCAAAGCGTCGTCTAAGTGCAACTGTTTACGAGTTGACTTACTTTACCTCGAATTAACTTTGCATTTTTGTAGTAAATTGAATTTCTTTTGACTTACATTATCAAGGTAACAAGAAATAGTTCGTGCAGATATATAGTTTATTTTATTGTGAAGTGAAAATAGCTTTTATTATGTCTGACAATTTTTGAGATGACGAGATGAAAAAAAAACTCTTTGCATATATAAATTTCTACCGCAGCCGTTTTCTGTGGTAATTGCGACTGACTTGTGTAACTGCAAAAGCAATTTAAACGTCAGGTTTAAAAATTAAAAGGTAAATATGTATCAGTTAAATTCGGAGATATTTTTTATGTTTTCGATTATAAGATACTAAAAAAATAATGTAGTAACTAATATCAACCTTGATTTATTAAGAAATTATCCTTAGATTATAAATAAACCAAGAAATTATTTATTGTTAAATACTCAGTTTTCATAAGAAATTTAATTAATTATAAATAAATAATTAAATAATAAATGTCATTTACAAAATCTCCAAGACCCAGGTCTTGTATTTTACTTTGAATACAAAATTTATTATATTTAGTTTCATATCAAATTGAAATTCGATTTAAATTACTTCAAGCAGCGGTCAATTTTGTTAATACCTCAAAACCTCAGACTTAAAACATTTTAAGTCCAAAAGTTATTTCGTCCCAAAACTTATATTTGAGTAAAGGCGACTTGAATTGACCTTCGTAATATTTCGTTTTGTACGACCAAATTCGTTACTTTTAATAAAATGCATAAAACCACTTTTTAATTTTTATATGTTAATAAATTAACTTCAATGATCAAAACTAAGAGTTCCCTGGCAGTGAAGTTAAGACAAACTTAGCACTAAGTTTGTCTTAAGAAAAGACTTAACTTAATAATTCCGCTAGCATAATTTTTGAATAAATTTCTGTTTCGACACTCTCGAGAAGTTTCTTCGATTTATTTTTTGGTATAAAATTGAATTGCTACTTCTAATGTACTTTGTAAAGGTATATTGTGCAAAATTTCCACATGAAACACTTAATTAAGATAATGTAAATTGTACTTAAAAGTGTTTTACTGTTTTGTTAGAATTAAATGGATAGAGTTAATTAAGTACACTTCCATATGAAAATATATCCAAATTCTAAATGTAACTTGTTGTATTAATAAACTAAGGTTTTTATTATTTAAGATTTTGCATGAAACTTTTATATCATCAACTGTTGTATGTAATTGTAAGATACATCACAGTAATACGTAACTTGTTGATGTACCTATTGTAAATATGAGCCCTGTATTGATATTTATTGCATATTAATTTATTCCTTTACATAATTTGAAATTTCTAACATTATCTCATAATTCTTCAAAACACCAATTATATATTTAGCACCAAAGAAAATAAAAGTTATCTTTAGCTTCTGATAAAATTGTACATCGTTCCGCAAATAAGGTAAGTCGGTTTTATTTATTTGCAATATTCATTATTATTGTATGATTTCACTTTATTTTCATGAATGTATAGGATTGCACCAATTTTATCTTGATCTTGTCTAATTGAATTATTTAAAGATTACCTCCTATTATTAAAGTGGATGTTTTAAAACATCTTGAAATATTAATAAACAAAGATATTTGATGAGTGAAATATGTATTGTGTCAGTGTCATGTCATGAGAAAAAAATTGTGTTAGTGTCATGTCATAACGCAAACTCATATAATTCATCATGCCGTTTAGATAAGGATGGAAACAGTAACATACATACACTTTCTTATTTTTAACTTTATTTAATGGAAACAATATGACAAAATGTTTTCAAATCGTAATTCAGCCGTCATGTAAATTTGATATAACATAAGTAAAATTCTCAATAAACACTTGAGCTCTTAGATATAGTAAAATAAAAATCATGTAAATTATCTCTTGTATAATAATATTTTAGTAAACTATTTCTCTCTGTAATATGTACGTTTCAATTGTAATTGGACGAGGAAATAAGTAAAACTTGTTTATAATAAACGTGATATTCATTATCTTCTTGTGTTTTACTTTTATTAACAAACCCACATGGCGTTCAACGTTAGGTCTTCTTCTTCTACCTGGCAATTTCCCAGCTATAGCCAGGGTCTGCCTTACATGTTGTGAATAGTTTTTGGCTATTTGTCTTTACGACCGGCCGCCTGCCTATACATAGTACATATGACCCAGAAAAATCACATTGGTACTTGCCCGGGCCAGGATCAAACCCGCGCCCTCTGCAACGAGAGGCGGGCCCTTTAACCACTATGCTACCACTGACTTCAACGTTAGGTATTGAGACATAATCTGTTCACGAACAGACACGCTATTTTTATATAATGTACAGTAACACACATCGTTTTAGACTTTCGCATTTATAATATTAGTTATTTATAATTTTAAAACGGGTTGTGTTAACATAGCTTGCCGTAGCTTGGGAAACCAACATCCCCAAAGCTTCTCTTCTCAATCATCTTTATTGAGATGGACACGAGACCCGCAAGATGAATCCATGAAAAACTTAGATATTTAGGTCTCGTTAGGTTTGTTTGAAATTGTACAATAATTTTCTCTTCTAGAAACTTATTTAAATACCACAAGATGTTACAGCGACGAATAAAATTTCAGTTTTTGATCATACTACGATTTTTTTAATGTAATACGTGAGCTCTATTTTAACTTGTATTAAAATATGTAGAAGAGGAATTTTTCAAACGTATTTTGTTATTCCAATAAGAAGTATTCCATTCCACGGCTTCTATATGATTATTTAAAGGAAGAAAAATAAAATGCCAAAACATCGTTTGAAATAAGCCAATATTACTTTATTGCAATTGTTAGTTATACACAACTTCAACGTCAAATTGCTTAAAGCACTTTGGATATTACTCCAATCTTATAAAACTTCACCCTTGTTGGTAATGAAACAAATTTGTGAAATGGTTTATAAATAATAAAAAAGAGTTCCTGTTTCACAATACAATTGGGGTACATTTAAATGATTTAGCGAAATTATACAAGCAAATCTAAAATGAAAATATTGACCTAAGTCGTCAGAACAAAATATGACCTCACTGTGTTTGTTTTATTATATTTTTACCATTTCAATTTTATAGCTTCATAAAAGACAGTTATTTTATACCCTAAAGTCTAGACGAATTCAATCGTTTATTTGTTGTTGTTAGTTTTGTGCACTTCAGGGAAAAAACTAAATAGTAAGATTTTAGTGCTTAGGTAAAAGGATTCAATGTTAGGTCTACGTTAGTAAGAAAGTCTTTTATTTAAATTTATTTTAAATACTTTTTGATAATTCAACGTGAATATTTTCGCAAATTGTGGTTAAAAAATATTAAAACATAAGATTGAATTGACAACAAAATATTTTTTTTACATTATAATTATTTGATTTTAATTGCTCAAAATACCGATAAGGTCAATTTAAGTAAACACTATAGTATGAATTTAATGCCATCTTCTATTAAAAATAACAAAATAAAGAACGCCTTCATTTATAAAGTCATTGTGCCAAAAATAATTTTTATAGAAATTATTTATACACTTTGGTATTTTTTATTATATTAATAGACTTTACGAAATCGTTTATAATTAATAATTCTAATATAATATCAAAATAACAACCTGTTTGACCTATAGATAAAAATAAGTATCGTTTGAAAAACATATTTATTTTAGAAGATTCTTAATTAACTTACGAAACACGTCTCAAAGTTTTTATTTCAAAACATCGGTAATAGTAAATTTCAATACCTTTTCAAAATGTTTAAGATTTGATGAGCAGATATGTGTATAACTTTTTTAAAAAAATATTACATATTTAAATAGCGTTTAATTTTAAGCTTTCATAAGCAAATCAGAGGTGCGGTTAAATTTTAAGGTACTTGAAAATGCCTCCAAACTTCAGAATTCGGCTTAAACCCAAAAGTTATACAAGTTCACAAATTTAACTACATTATCTTCAATTTGTTGGGTTGGTATATAGTGGAGAGATATATTAAAAACAGGAATTTTTATCACCATCAATGAATATATTTTCAATTATATATAATCAAAGAATAGGTATTAGTGGTATTATCTGGAAAAGGGAGCTCTATACGTAGTATAGATTTGATGAACATTTTGATTACGGCCACAATGCCTGATGTCAGTGGTTTCACACTGTAAAACGAAGAATATAATTCTAAAACGAGGAAACAAACTCATTGTTGTATGTATAATGTGTGGCTGTAATGCTAAAAGTATGTTAACGCAGGATGATGACCCAGTTGTAGAGTAGGTTATCTTGTCACCAACGTTTTACAAATGATTATAGGGTAGAAGAATAAACAGTTTTAACCTTTTATTTAAATGAGAAATTTTAACCTAATTTTGTGTTATTATTTGGTTTTAAGTATTATAATTTAGAATAAAAACTTTTTTAAGAAAAGAGTAATAATTTAAATGTAAATATGTAAACTAACGGATCCTGTGAATGTTTCTAAACTGTTCCGCTTCTGAATTTCAAATCAGTTGTCATACTAAGAGAGGGACTCAAAGGAGGTAACTATGTACCTATGTTAGTTTATTCAATGAGAGTTAATTGGAGGGAATAGACGACGTTTCTTTCTGAATTACTAGATAAATATGACGTATTCTTCAAATTCAGTGTGTG